CCTACCTCCCTTCTAGTCCACCATTTCTTCTTTGTCCCCATTTTTCATCTATACATGGAGGACAATGTTCGCTAAAATTATATATCTTAAGTGCACGGTTCGCATTCAACTAATAAGGTGGACTTTTTGAGTTTGGATCGTCGATCCCTCAAGAAATGTTTATTTTCAATTACGCAATTTTAGTTAAATTAATTTTAACAATAAAAATAAACACACAATAAAATTTGATTTTGGAAAATAAGGAAAATTAACTAAAAATCTACAAAATAAGAAAACATAAACACTTGAAAATTTTGGAGGAAAAACGTTGTTGGAATTCATAGTTTCGCTTAATCATGGCCTAATTAATTTCTCTACAAGTCAATTAATAAATTACTCATTTACTATGTTAGATCCGATTTTTCAATTTTAATTAATTACTTCTCTCGAGAGAAATCAACACTAATTAATTAGTTAATTTAGTATATCTCTATGTCGATTAAAACCGAACAATCACATTAAATTTTTGTGAAAATTGTTCAATGGCTTACCTAGGGTTAAGAGTATATATCTATCATCTACACAAATCTAGGGTATTTACCATTTGATTTAAAATGTACAATCTTCTTTCGAACGACGTACAAATTTAGGTATTTACTATTTGCTTACCAATGGTATTCTTGCCAATAATTTCGTCTGACACCATGAAGGCAACAAATATTGATATCAATAAAAAATATCAACTATCATATTATGGGCAATCATCAATTAAATCTTCAGTAGATATCATTTATTTCATTAATTATTATTATTATTATTATTATTATTATTATTATTATTCTCAAGAAAGTTCCATTGACAATTTTGTCAAAAGTCCCAAACTGCTTGAACCACATTCTTTTTAGAAAAATCAGCAAATAGAGTGATTTTCATTATGTAGATTTTGGGATGAAATTTTTTTTTTTTGTTATACTCAATACCCAGGGGTCCGCTCGAATGGCATGGAGATTCCTTGCCTAATTAGGTACACAGGGTAAGGACGGGATGTTGTCCCATTTAAAGCTCATTTCAAAATACAAGTTTTTTATCATACAAAAAGAAAAAAATTATCAGCACATTAATTCATTGGTGGATAAAGATTTTGTGAGTTCCAATCCACCAATGAATTAATGTGCCAACTCATTGGTGTTTAGGATAAGATGAGCACCGGTGCTCATTAGATCATTTCTGTATATATATATATATGAGGACAAAAACATTGCATAAATGTGAACAAAAAATAGATGGAATCAATGTAATAATGGAATAAAAAGAAGAGAAAATATAGAATAAGATTTCTGTTTTTCCATGTCATTCAAAAAACAATAATCTAACACGTTCTTCCTTGTCCTCGTCGTTGTCGTCTTCTTCTTCTTTCTTCTTTTTTTCATAAATTTCTAATTCTAATATAATTCTAGAAAACTCCCCAATTCTTGACTCTCTAACCAACTTGCTCGTCATAAAAAAAGACACTCCTTTGTTGCTCCTAGTACGAGAGATCTGTTTTGATGGTCGAAATGAAAATCCAAATGAATAAGCGTAAGAAGAAAAGGAAAAAGAAATTAAAATGACGGGTCAATTTGGGATCGATTTAGATGATTCTCTCTTGAAAAATGATGCGGTGGAGGCGGCACAATGACAATCTTCTTGGATGAGATGTCGACGAATGTGCCATCAGTTTTAGTCGAGTTGAGTGAGAGAAGGAAATAGATATTATGATTGAGGAAAAGAAGAAAGGGTTTGGGTATCTAGTTGGGAATTGGCAAATTTTTAAGGGCATTTTTGTTTTTTTAATGGTATTGGATGCAAATCTTTCAATTTTTGACCATTTCTCGAAATGGGGTATCAAATTTGGACATTTCACACAATTTCCTCAAATTTTAATATATGAGTAATTTAAATTCGAATTAGTACTTAGCTAGATGGACACTTTGTCAAATTATTGAGATTTACGGGGTTGGGCTGCGGGTTACACATTAAAAATCGATCAACCCAATCCATCTCGATCCATTTAATAAAAAAATTTAAAAATAAGAAGTTTATGTACAAAAACTTGTGACCCTCTAAACCGATTCTCGATTTCAATCCTATCTCTTCTCGGCACCCACTTCCCTTCTAATCCACCATTGCTTCTTTGTCCCCATTTTTCATCTATACATGGAGGACAATGTTCGCTAAAATTATATATCTCAAGTGCACGGTTCGCGTTCAAGTAATAAGATGAACTTTTTGAGTTTGGATCGTCGATCATTCGAGAAGTGTTTATTTTCGATTAGGCAAGTTTAGTTACACTCATTTTGAGTTTGCCTCTACTGTACCCAGGGGTCCGCTCGAATGGCATGGAGATTCCTTGCCTAATTAGGTACACATGGTAAGGACGGGATGTTGTCCCATTTAAAGCTCATCTCAAAATACAAGTTTTTTAATCATACAAAAAGAAAAAAATTATCATCATTTCTAAAGGAAACATGAATTTTTCTACCATTTGAAAAATAAAAATGATGATTTTCACCAACTAAAATTATTAAAAAATAAATTGGGAGATAAACGG